CCCGGGGGTGGGAGGAGCTTGGCTCTGAGACGGAGGGCCTGCCTCGCACACGGCCCTGAGGAGCCCCCCATCTCCCTGTCAGCCCTGCTACGTTGGGCTGAGGGTTGAGCAGTGAGATGTGGAGAGGGGGAAATTGTGCGGGAAGCCCCGCAAGATCAGTTAAGGGTCCGTTTGTCCGCCTTCCCGTGGTGGTCACCCACTGTGCGCTGTGCATTTCATGAGGATCAAATGGGAAATGAAAAGGGCGAGCAACGTTTTTAAATGGCTGGACAAAACAGGAATAAAAACAAACCCATGCCGAAGAAACAGTCACTTCCCAAGCTGCGGGTGGGCAGCCATCTCCCAGAGACTTGATCGGCAGATTCCACGCAAATTCGTAACACGCACGGCGGATGGCGCGCGTTTCCCAAACGGGGCCCACGGGGTCGTCGCGCTGCCCGCAGGCCACGCACCCTCAGCTCGGCCCCAGGCACAGCAAGGGCAGGAAACCTTGGTCCAAAGAAGAGGTCACTCTGCTTGTTTACAAGACAGTCAAAACTGCTCAGTGCTGTGCCTGCTCTGGAAGAGGCCCCGGTGTGCGTCTGGCGACTCCGAAGACAGTGCCCCTGCCTGGGCCTCGCCTGGCACCACCGGCGGGTCCTCGCGGAGCCAGAGCGCAGGGCAGCCAGGTCTCCTCGCGCCGCCCCTGCCCTGCCCCGGGCACCCTCCGCCGTACAGGCTCGGGATGCGGCCCAGGCTGGGAGTTTACCCTGTGCGGGGGCCCCAGCGCCGTGACGCGGAGGGCGAACTAGGAGCAGGCGAGGCAGAGGCCGTGCGGCTGCGCATGCGGGAAACGTCCTCACAAAAGTCTCGTCCTCGGAATGCGAGCAGGTTCTCGGAAATGGTCTGACCCCATTTGAGCACCACAGGCTTCCTGAGGATATTTGAGATGCACATGGAGAAAAACCCCTAGCAGATGGCTGAAATAAAAACAAAGATAAGCAGCTCGAAAATTCCCTGAGCGGAGGAAACCAGATTAGTCACAAGCACAGCGTACTTCAGCTTATCTTGCTAGACCAACCTGACCTGAGCCATTTCTTGCTGAACAGTCACTGCCTTGACAGCATTTAAGCTGCTTTAACCGTATACCGGGAGCCGCCTTCCACGCTTCCGTTAGAGCGCTCCCGGCGTGTGTGCACACAATAAACTTTTACTAACGACTACCTCGGCGGTTCTACCGTTTTACTTCTGTTGCTCCTGAACTTGTGACAGTATCTAATAAAGGGGCACAAACTTTGGTGAGTGATGGAGATTGTGCGTAAAGAAAAGATGTGAAATGGCAAAGCGGGGAGCTCAAGGCTGTCGGAGCCATTGCCCAGCCCCAGCCCCAGCCCGTGGCTCCTTTATTCCTGCCCTGTCTCCTGGGTGGACTTTGCCCCCACCAGTGACACTGAGGAATGGGGAAGAGTCCAGGAGCCATGAAAGAGCGCAGTCTGGTTTGTGGTGAGCGGAGAAACGGCCTTGGATGCCAGGAAGAGCTGTGTACACCCTGCCTCCTTGGCTACTTTGTGCCAAGAGGTGCATAAAGCTGATTTAATTTATCCCTAAATTGTTTCCAACTCAGTATTTCTCTGATGAACCTAGAAATCAAAATCCCAGGACCATCAGCCCTTACTGATATTGCCCTGAGAAGGTTCTTTACTGCAAGCCTCCTGGATTCATCACTGTCCCTCCCTGGTCTGGTCACTGGCTGCAGTCTCCCATCCGTCCTCTGAACCGACCTGCAAAATTCCAAGTACGCTCCAACCAGCTCTTTGAGCATCAACTCATCCTTACTGGGTTTGCAGGCCAGGGCCCGTGCCCTTGGGTGAGCAGGGCTCTCGAGTCCCAAATACTGGGAAATTTTAATTCTACAGTGGAAAGAGGCTTAGATCATCTCCCACAACCCTCATTTCAACCATAAAACAAGTGAGGACCTGTGCATCTGGCCCCTGGCCGGAAAGCACGACAGCAGCCTCACTCCCTCAGCCTTCATCCTTGACCTTTCGGCTGGTGTTCTTTCTGCTCTGCTTATGAGTCAATGGGAGGCACAAGGGTTGACTATGGGGAAGCCCAGTGACGATGGGCTCACAGGGGAAAACCAGCGCCTCTGGGCTAATGGAAGGGTCCTGATATTACTAAACACAGGCATAATGAGCACTGGGGTGTCACTCAGCAAGGAACAGGAAAAGACAGAGATGAGTTTAGGGGAAGGCTAGGGAAAAAAAGTTCCCTGTCACCCCCACCCCGCCGGTGGAACAAGGATTTTTGGGGTCTATATACCCCTTTTATTAATAATAGTACAAGTCTCTGGGCAGAAATTCAAATTCCCGTCGTCATGTCAGAATGTCTCATAGCCAGTGGATTATGCTTATGGGAAAGGGGGCCTTGCAACCATCTCTGATCACCATAGCTTAACCCCCTGCACCCTGAAATAGGTGGACTTTGCCCCCACCAGTGACACTGAGGAATGGGGAAGAGTCCAGGAGCCATGAAAGAGCGCAGTCTGGTTTGTGGTGAGCGGAGAAACGGCCTTGGATGCCAGGAAGAGCTGTGTACACCCTGCCTCCTTGGCTACTTTGTGCCAAGAGGTGCATAAAGCTGATTTAATTTATCCCTAAATTGTTTCCAACTCAGTATTTCTCTGATGAACCTAGAAATCAAAATCCCAGGACCATCAGCCCTTACTGATATTGCCCTGAGAAGGTTCTTTACTGCAAGCCTCCTGGATTCATCACTGTCCCTCCCTGGTCTGGTCACTGGCTGCAGTCTCCCATCCGTCCTCTGAACCGACCTGCAAAATTCCAAGTACGCTCCAACCAGCTCTTTGAGCATCAACTCATCCTTACTGGGTTTGCAGGCCAGGGCCCGTGCCCTTGGGTGAGCAGGGCTCTCGAGTCCCAAATACTGGGAAATTTTAATTCTACAGTGGAAAGAGGCTTAGATCATCTCCCACAACCCTCATTTCAACCATAAAACAAGTGAGGACCTGTGCATCTGGCCCCTGGCCGGAAAGCACGACAGCAGCCTCACTCCCTCAGCCTTCATCCTTGACCTTTCGGCTGGTGTTCTTTCTGCTCTGCTTATGAGTCAATGGGAGGCACAAGGGTTGACTATGGGGAAGCCCAGTGACGATGGGCTCACAGGGGAAAACCAGCGCCTCTGGGCTAATGGAAGGGTCCTGATATTACTAAACACAGGCATAATGAGCACTGGGGTGTCACTCAGCAAGGAACAGGAAAAGACAGAGATGAGTTTAGGGGAAGGCTAGGGAAAAAAAGTTCCCTGTCACCCCCACCCCGCCGGTGGAACAAGGATTTTTGGGGTCTATATACCCCTTTTATTAATAATAGTACAAGTCTCTGGGCAGAAATTCAAATTCCCGTCGTCATGTCAGAATGTCTCATAGCCAGTGGATTATGCTTATGGGAAAGGGGGCCTTGCAACCATCTCTGATCACCATAGCTTAACCCCCTGCACCCTGAAATTTCTTCCATTCCTCAGAGAAGGAAATCCTCTCTTTGTCTCCAGATTAAATCAACTTCTGAAACAAAGTCCTCCATATAGATGCTAAACTCAGAAAGGATAAGACCCAAAAGTAAGAGAAGCTGGGAAAGGGCTGGGGGCTGACCCCCATGACGTGTGTGTGTGTGTGTGTGTGTGTGTGTGTGTGTGTGGACTCCAAGCCAGGACTGAGGGGAAGGGTGCTCTGGCAGAGCAGGGGAGTTCAGGTTCCCTAGTGGGTGGGGTACGGAGCTGGGACCAGGACAGCTACAAGGACATTGTGCAAGAGGGAGAGAAAGGAAATGAGGTGGGAGAGGCACGGACTAACGGCGAGAGCTGGGAGAGGAAGGGGAGTGGATGCAGAGCGGGAGCTTCCCTCTTGCTCAGTTTCACTTCTTTAATTCAATCTGCGCTTAAGAGACCAAAATTATGCCACTCAGATTTATCATGGATCTGTTGCTCAAGAAGCCATCATTTCTGCAGGTCATAGATCATTGGCGGATGGGTTTGGGCCCTAGATGGTCACTGAGGGACTTCAGGTAACTAAAGTGTGCCCAGGAGGGTTTAGGAGTAGGGACCAGAGGGGAAGGTTAGAAATAAAGCAAACAAATAATTCTCTACAATTTCAATGGATGACATGCAAACCCAGGGTCTGGTAGCAAGTTAGACCTGCAGAGCTGGTCTCCTTCATAAGATGCTGCCCATCCAAGAGCAACGGGTGCACCAAGTGAACCTCCAGCTAATACCTGGCATTTGAGAACTTGAATCTTTTGACTCTTTGCTTGAACCACGTTGGTCAGTATTTGGCTGCTTTACCTTCTCCATCTCTTCTGAGTGTTGTTTTCTTTGCCTAACCACTATCCCGGTGGAAAACCTTTTCTCCTGAGAGGAATGGTGGCTCCTTGTGAGCTACAGGTACACGTTAGGCAGAGGGGAATCCAGTCTCTTCACATCCCACCCGCTAAAGCAGTTCTCCGCTCTCTTCAAGGACAGAGCTCCCTCAGTAGCAGCCCTGGGTCTGTGGTTTCCTTTCACAGACTGAACCAGGAACAGTTATTATTCACTCTTGACAAAAATACCCAGAAACCAAGTTCTTCTCAAAACGTAGCTGAACTCAGAAAGAATGAGAAGTGAATATGAAAAGGTCTTATGCAGGAAGTGGTTTGGAGAAGAAACGGAGGGCGGACAGGGCGCTGAGCACAGCAGGATGTAGCAGGAAACAGACGGCTTTAGTGGGTTCACCTCCAAGGCCACAGCCCGTGTTCCTCTCCAGCTCACTTTAACCACACTGTTTTGTTTCCACACACTAAGCAGGTGGGGAGGCAGTGGCAGTAAACGAGGACACTGAAAAGGATCCCCAGAAGGTCACCCCAATGCAGATCACAGAAAGCACAATGACGGACAAGGCTTTCAAGTCCATTCTTCACATAGCCCACAATTACATGCATCTGGGACATGACCCCGAGTCAATCCTGGAGTGATTTTCTATTTTTTGTTAAGAAAACATTCAGGATCCAACCTGGATGACAAGTCCCTGTACAAATCATCTGCCTCAGTCTCCAGCCTCATTTCTGCCCAATCTGACTGCCCACCTCTAGGTTCTAGCGGCTTCCGTTGAATACCTGAGAGCTCCATGCGGTGCTTTGCCTTGAAATATGCTGGGGTTTTTTTTTCTGGAAACACTTCTGACCGCTTTCGCTAACTTTTACTCACTCTTCAATTTCAGCTCAAACAATGTTACTTCTAAGGACTCTTTCCCCACTACCCACCCGACTCGGTTAGCTGTCTCCTGCACTCCCAGTGTTCTCCCTGCTGACAGTCGCTGTGTTAAAGCTTTTGTTCAGTGTCAGCCTTGCCTAAGAAAGGAGGTAGTGATGGAGAGGGGGTGATGGCAAAAATCTTATTTTCTTAAAGATAGAACCACAAGTCCTCTGGAGTGGAAGAATCTGTTCAGAAAAAAACACTATGGTTGATACATTTGGAAGGAAAATGTGAGCCTGTAACCAGGGCATCCAGAGCCAGGGTGATCACAGAGAGAATTACTCTGTTTTAGAAATGAAGTAGAACCCTTATGAAGCAAGGCAAAGATCTTAAATTAGCTATTAACAAAATCCAGCAAAACCTTAAATTATAAAGGTTTGTTCTAAGTATGCAAAGGAGGTTCAATATCAGGAAATACTTGCATATGATTTAGTGTATTATAAAGCTATGGAGCCACATAACCTGATCATCTCTTTTGCTGTTGAAAGGCAATTTTGTTAAATTCAACAGCTAATAATTGGTTACTTCTTTACATAATAAAAATTTCCATCTGAACCTCATCTTTTAATAGGAAACATTGAGGTATTGCCACAAATAAGGGGGCCTACTAGCACTGTAACTATTTAACATGCTTCTAAATACTAGCTACAATAAACTAAAAGTGCATGATCAATTGGAAGCGTTCATTATTCAAAAGAGGAGGTAAAATGATCATTTTTGGTCCCATAAAGAACTTCTACAAATCAATATCAAAATGATTAACAACAGAATTTAAACCTGACCAAAAAATACATAAGACAGATATTCATAAAGAAAAAAGCAAAGTTCTTTAACCTATGAAATATGGAGTAATGCACATGAAAATCACACTTTTTTCACCAGCTAATAAAATCATGAGCAAGGATGTGGGGAAACTAATAAAATACTGCTGTATCTGATTTGGTTAAAATTTTTATTGTGGGCAACTCAGTAATCTCTATCAAAGTTACAAATACATGTACCAATTGTCTAGCAATTCCACTTCTGGGAATCGATTCAGGTGATCTGATAATCCATTACTAGAGAACAAATCACTTGAAAACTCAGTGGCATCAAAACAATTTTATTACACTCATACTTTCATGAGTCAGGAATTCAGGCAGAGCGCCGAGGGTAAGACTGGCCTGCGCCCCATGCAGGCTGGCGCCTCACTGCAGAGGCTCGGCTGGCCGCAGACAGTAGCACAGGCTGGACTAGGGCTGCAGGCCTGCACCCCTCCAGGTTCTTCATGTTGCCTCAGACGGGGCTGGGTGTCTAAGTCGGTGACCCCACTCCTTCACCAGAGTGACAGAGCTCTTGTCCTGGTGGCTTTGATTCCCTGGTTCTCATAGCAGGTTCAAGTCAGGAACTTGAAGGGGTTTCTGGTCAGCTTTCCTCACTGAGAGAGGAGAGGGTGTAAAGCAGTCACGGTGAAGGTGTGGGGTGTTTCCATTGATGTCTTTCGTATGATTTAAAACTTCTTTATAACTCTTCATTTGAAATTTTAGCTATTAGTCTTAACTATTATTCCATGAAATTGACCCTTCTTAAAACTACGAGTTGAGCCAGTTCTTTAGCAGCAAGTTCTTGGCTATGTAAAGCTAACAGTTCTTCACACTTTTCAATGGACAAGTTACTAAATCCAGCCTCTTTCAAAGGATTCAGGTTGGGTTTTTCTGTTTGTTTGTTTGTTAGGGTTGGTTTGTTGTGTTGTGTTTTCAGTTTGTTTGGCTTCCATGCCGCCTTGGAAGTCAGCAGCACACCTCGGATGTGGATCGCTGCACCCTGTCCTGTGCCAGGTCGTCCACACCTGTGCCCGCGGGGCGGCTTCATATCTGCTCTTTGAGCCCCCTCTTCTCTCCACCAAACCTCTTTTAGGCAACTCTAGTCAGTGCACAAACAGGTTTTTAAGCTCTGTTACTTGTTTTCTTTTAATTTGTGAGTGTAATTTGAATTCATTGTGTTCATTTAACCTTTGGTAGAAAATTTTCACTTAGCACGAGGCACAGTCCTGCCAGGGACCCAAAGAGCCAGCACCACCCTTCGCTCAGAGGCACCTGCAATGTGAATGTTTTCACTGGTCGTGCAGCCAGGTTTGCTAGAGTGGATTTTCAATTTAGATAAAGAATTTTGGGTAAAGTGGTTCATAGCAAAGAATCAGACTGTGGAAGCTTGAATGGTGAGGGATGTATAGAGGTTAAACATACTCTGAGTTTTTAGTGAGTCCAAAAGAAAATCACTTCATATGACAGAGGTCTACACAGGCTTAAACCAGAACACTGCAATGTTTAACTCATTGGTAAAGACCTCCCCACCCAGGTTTTAGTATTTTTTTGTTCAACCCATTTGTTCCTTTTACTTTGCATTTTTGTGTCATATTTTTACTTGTGCACCCCTTTCCTAAAACAAACACAATGTTTTGTGTCCCAGATCTGCACTGTCTGTGCCCAGGACACTGCGAGCAGGTTATTTTAAAGTGCTTTGATGGTTCATGACTGTTACTGATGGTCCAACTCGGGCACCCCAGGCTTCTGCCTGGGCAGTGTCCTGCCAGAGGCACCCCCAGACCTGTGCCCTTTCTCCTCCCCCATAGCACTTGACAGTAGAGCAATCACAGCCGCCAGAGTGAATGAGGTTCAGCTCCTTCCCAAGGGCCTTTGCATTCAGGCACACCTGAAACGTCAGGACACAGCCCGGTGGGCAGGCATCAATCTACCAGCATCACCAGTGTCCCTGCCTTTCTTTCCTATCCAGTTGAGATCATTCAAACACTGGTTTTTCACTATTGACAAGAAAAGACAGTCCACACAACAGCAAGTAAATACTGGTTAAAATTTTTCCATTTTAACTGTTTGTTTTGTATATGTGGCGAAAATGAGAATTTCAGACACAGGCACGTTGGGATGCTCCTTTGCAGTGGGGAGCTCCGCGGAGCTACAGAGGAGGCCGACTGGGAGTTGTAGTTTCTTTTTCTCTTCGAGCTGAGCTGGCAAGCCACAGGATCAGAAGGGGAGCCATCCGTTTCTTTTACAGTAAGTAGGTAAGCCCACATTCATGGAAAGCTCTGCAGGGCGGATTGCTAGTGGGTTTCCCAATTGAAAAACAGGTTTTATTTTTGAGGAACAAATTTGCCCTATTTTGAAAGAAACAATTTTGAGTGACAGCCTTTGGCTTAAGCACAGCCAGTTTAGAGGACTGTCAGTTTCACATAATCTAGTTTATACATTACTGGCAAAGAGAGTTTCCTCAGCATAAAGCCAATAAAAAGTGCTAACTGGGAAGAATTTGCCCATGAATATGTGGTTGTGAGTGTTCTGTGCCTTGTCGCTTTGGTATATGTTGCCAGATTTAAGCAAGAGAAAAGCTCTCTGATGAAAATGAACGGGTGCTTCTCACCGGTACAGAAAAGGCGAATAGATCTCAGAGCTGCTTCACGGCGGGTGTTGAGGGAAAAGGAAATTCAAGGAACTGGTGGATGTATTTCTGGCCTCCAGGATGGTGTCCTTTCCCAGAGTCATGTTCCTAAGTCATTGACCATCTCAGCAGGGGCTCCAAACCAAGGAGAGGGATTGGGGAGAGTGGAGAGGAGGGGACAGGAGGGGCTGGAGGGAGCTGGGAGAGGAGCCCCCGAGGCGGGGAAGGCAGACCTCAAAAGGAGGAATGTGGGAGGAGAGGGAGTGGGGCCAAGGAAAGCGCATGAGGAGGGCGGTGGTCCAGAGAGGGAGGGAGGAAGGAAATGAGGGGGGCATGGAGACAAGCAGGCAGGGCTTACAAAGGAAACCCCCTTTTCACTAAATTTCTTTATAAATAGAGATAGTGGTTCTCTTTTCACCCACCTGGTCAACCACGTATAAACAAGGCAAGCATGGTTGTGAAAGGGTCTTCCCTGGTTCAGAACTAAAACATGATCATTTTTTAATTGGTTCCTGGTCTCTCTTGTCCCTCAGGAACAGCAATGGACCAAAATGAATGCAGTCATTCTGGTAAGTGCGTGACTTCCTGTACGTGCCTATTTGACTATATTCTCTGCCTGTTTTATATAAAAATCACACTGTCCTAAGAAAAGCATAAGCTATCCCTTGTTTCTTCATTAGGGAGAATAATCTGATGCTCATTCCATTACTTGCCTGGCCCAGCCACTTCATGGGGGGTCATGACCACAGGTCTGCCCAGCCGAGGTCAGACGGGCATCTCTGGTCTTGGGACAGTCAGGTTACTTAACCCACCTGGAGATGGAATTTACAGTCTTGGTTACACTTCTCTGATCTTCAGAAAATTTACCTTTTAGAGATACAGAACCAGGCGATTCAGGCAAGCCTTGCATGACCAGATATGTTTCTAAGTCCATCTCACCCCCAAAGTATGTTTTCTAGGATCCAACATGGCAATACCCTGCAGTCCCAGAGAAATCAATGCTCTATGACATTTTTAAAATAATTTATTTATTTAATAATGGAGTCAGCTTTTATTTTGTAAGTGTGACACATTACGCGAGTATCTTTTCCCATAATGTGGGAATAGCTCTTTGATAATTATCACTAAAACTACCCTGTTGGTATGGCCAGCGTAATAGCAACACAGTAAACATGCTCTTCATAGGACGGTATATGAAAAAGCAACGTGCCAGAGGGTCAGAGCTGAGGATCCTTCTCGTGGGCAAAACGGGAACTGGCAAAAGTGCCACAGGGAACAGCATCCTTGGGAAGCAAGCCTTTAAGTCGCAGCTGAGCACCCAGACTGTCACGAAGACCTGCAGTGGACATCAAGAAAGCTGCGGAGAGAGAGAGATGCTCGTTATTGACACGCCAGATTTGTTTTCTGGGGAGGACCGCTCTGAGTCCTTGTACAGAGAGGCCCAGCGATGCTACTTACTCTCGGCCCCAGGGCCCCACGTGCTGCTCCTGGTGGCTCGGCTGGGCCGCTTCACGGCCCAGGATCAGCAGGCCGCGCAGAGGCTGAGGGAGCTGTTTGGAGAGGATGCCATGAGACACACAATTGTCCTCTTCACCCACAAGGAGGACCTCGAGGGAGGCTCCTTGGCAGAGTACATCCGTGACTCCAGTAACAGAGCCCTGCACGAGCTGGTGGCAGCATGTGGGGGCCGAGTGTGTGCCTTTAATAACTGTGCTAAAGGGCGTGAGCGAGATGACCAAGTGAAAGAGCTCATGGAGTTGATTGAGGGCCTGGTGACAGACACACGGGGTGACCATTATACCAACGTGCTCTATGACCTAGTAACAGGGTTAGAATGTGGACCTGTGCGGTCAGAGGAAAGGTTAAAGGATTTCAAAAAGAGTCTTATAAAGTACATGGACATTCAGAGAAGTCACACAACCACAGCCAAAGCGCATTGCCTGAAAAGAGCCCTATTCAAAGCACTGGTTTATATTTTATTTTGTGTTCGGCTGTGCATCCAGTTGTTAATTCTGTTATTTTGTGTATTTTACACAGTGTGCAGCTGGTTTTGCTTCTTTCTCTGTAGTGTGTGCAGTATACCCCCAAAATTAATGATAATTCTGAAAAAGACCATTGGACAGGAACGCAAGACTCCTAGGTTATAGACTGGTAATTATTTACTCACTGTCATGTGGGGGGTGAATCACGGTGCCTCCCCTATAAAATGCAGTGCCTGACCTCAGTAAGTGTTTGAGATTCTGTGAAATGTTGACCTCACTCAATTTATTGATGAACCAAAAATTTTTTTAAGTTACTGTTTCGAGATATAATACCAAAACCTTCTGAAAGCTGTAAACAGAAAATTCCTCTCATTTGCAAATCTCTAAAGCCAGTTTTATGTTTCTGGAAATTTCTTTTCTTCTTTATGATATAATTTCTACTGAATATAATAAAAATAACAATAAAGTTTCTACTCAGCCTAATAAAATAATAATAAGTAAACCATAAAGTCCCTGAGATCATGTCTTAATTCTTTCCTACAGTTTTATCCTCAGAAGATGATAAGTGGACACATGGCTCATTTACTCTATTAATGGAAGCAACTCATGCCCAACAACCACCCACAGACACACACATCCACAGTTTTATGTCAAATCTGCTTAACACTGAAAGGGGCTCAGCCAGATTTTACCTCTGGCCCCAGCCACATTTATTTGACAAAAAACAAAGATAATACAATGGAGAAAGGACCGTCTTTTCAACAAATGTTGCTGGAATGTGGTGCTGGACATCCTCATGCAGAAAAATGAATCGACACAGACCTTCTACCTGTTCTCCATTGTATTATCTTTGCGTTTTTGTCAAAGATCAATTACAAGTACTGTGACTGCAGCAGAAGCACACATAGAGGCTCCCTCTTCAGGCAAGATGGTGGACTGGATATTCGGAAGCATCATTCTGTTAAATGCATACAGAAACTGAGGCTCCTAAACGGAATCTTTATGACTGACGAGCTCACTAGAGAGTGAGGAAAACTCCAAGGGTGAAGCAAACAATACACATAAAAAGGAACTGGAGCTAAACCTGGAGGTGAGAGCCGCGAGGATGCAAACATGGAAGGCAGGGTTGACCAGTAGACAAATGCAGATACGCACCCTGGGATCAGGAAACTCAACCTTGAGTTGTTGGTAAAGTTGAAAAGCTGATAGTGAGGCCTCTATGTTATATTAAGACCTCCCCAGGGAACTACTACAAAGTCATTTTTTTAACCAAACATATAAGGCTGTTCTGACATTTTATTTCTTCTTATGCTCATTTTGCTAAGTTAGCTTTCCAATGAATGTTTTTATTAGATTAAAGTTGTTGAATTTGTTTACACAAATTCATACAGTCTTTTTATTATCCTTTAATCAGTACAGGAACTATAGTAATCTTCCCTCTTTGAATTCTGATATTGATAATTCATGATTATTTTATTTGATCAGCCTGGATAGATATTTATCAATATTATTAAACTTTACTAAAATCTAACATTGATTTTCTGTTATATTTCCTGTTTTCTATTTTATTGCGTCCTAGACAGTGTCTTTTGCAGAGCAGTTAATTGTAATGAAATGCAAATTACCGATTTTTTCTTTCATAGATCATGCTTTAGGTGCTGTATCTAAAAAGTCATCACCAAACCCACCGTCACCTAGATTTTCACCAATGTTACCTTCTTGGGGTTTTAAGTATGTAATCCATTTTGACTTAATTTTTGTGAAAGGTATAAGGTCTGTGTCTAGATTCATTTTTCTGCATGAGGATGTCCAGCACCACATGGCAGCATCATTTGTTGAAAAGACTGTCCTTTCTCCATTGTATTATCTTTGTTTTTTTGTCAAAGATCAACTGCTTGTAATGTAACTCTAGTTGTGTTTGGTTTAAGCCTCCCATCATGCCCCTGTTTTCTATTTGCTCCACCTTTTCTTTGTTCCTCTTTTATTTGATCAGCCTGGCTAGGCTCTTTTACACTAAATTTTTAAAAAGTTATTCCACTTTATATCCTCTTTTGGCTTTTACTTTTTTAGTGGTTGTTCTAGGGATTAAAATATTTATCCTTAATTAATTTTCTCTACTTAGAATTAATAGCATATCCCTTAAAATAAAATATAAGAACCTTACAAAAGTGTATATCATTTAACCCATACCCTTCCTTTGTGATACTGTCACTTTCTTAATTCTTCATATTAAAAATTCATGTTATTGTTGTACCTCAATTTCATTTTTGAGAAACTAAGCAATGATCAAGATAGTAGTTTTCTTATTTTCCACATATTTAGAATTTCCAGAAACCTTTTTCTTTCCTGGTGATCCACGTTTCTGTCTGGTATCCTTCTCTTTCAGCCTGAAGAATTTCTTTAACATTTCTTGTCATGCAATCCTAGTGGGACAATTTTTCTCTGGTTTTGATCATCGTCAAAAGTATTTTTTTTATCTTGATTTTTGAAGGGGAGGTTTGCTAAAAAAAGAAATCTAGGCTGACTTTATTTTTCTTCAGCACTTTAAACATATTCCAGTGTTTTCTGGCTCACACTAAGAAATCAGCTGTCGTTCTACGGGGTTTTCTCCTACGTGTAATGGGTCTTTTTTTCCTCCTCTGGTTGATTTAAAATTTTTCTCTTTTTTTTTTTGGTTTTCAGTAATTTGAATACAAAATACCTGGGTTTGTTTTTCTCTGTATTTCCTACTTAGGACTGATTAAAATCTTTGGACTTATGAGTTGAAGTTTTCATCAACTTTTTCAAATTTTGGTCGTTATATCCTCAAATGTTTTTTCTACCCGATTCAGTCTTTTCTCCTTCTTGGATTCAAATTTCATTAGATTTCTTGATACTATTCCACTGATCACTAGTGTCCTGTTCTTTTATTCATAGTCCATAGATCTATGAACTGTCTTCAAGTGATAGATTTTTTCTCCAATTCCAATATGCTGTTAAATCTATCCAATTAAGTTTCTTTTAAAATTTTAGAAATTTTATTTTCCTGTCCCAGCATCAGTTCTTTCTGGAGTTTATATTTCTCTCCTGAAATTCTTCAACTTTTAATCCATTTATTTTTCTATGCATTCTTTAACACATTTATAATAGCTATTTTAAAAATCCTTAATTGATCATTCCAATGAATGAGTCATTTAATCTTTTGATTGTGAGTCATGTTTTCCCAATTCTTTGTATGTCATATACATTTATATTGTATTCCAGTCAATAAATCTGAAGTCTGAAGTATCTGCTTTCCCTGATTTGAACTTGCACTGTACATGAAATAAATCAAATCAAACTTCTAATTTGGCTTATAAACTTCCATCTCCTTTATGTCAAGCTGTCCGTCTAGCAAGCTTGCCCCGGCTCTTGTCCTATAAAACTGAATCCTGGGTGCCACTTGCTTGGCTGTTACTTTTAATGAGTAAACTGCAGTTGCCACCAGATCCCTTTCCCCCCAGGAAAAGAAAGTGAGATCTACATGACACTAAAATAGTGCTTCCAAATGCTGGGCACAGTGGAGCCAATGGCTTTCAGGTAATTGATAGGTCATTGAAGGAGTCATTTCATTACCCCTTCCTCTCCCGAGAAGGCATTTGAATCATTCTTATTCCTTTTGTGGCCTCGGGGATGCTGAGAGTTGAGCTCTTGCAAGTCAAGAAAAGTCAGGGAGACATCAGGACTGAAGAAGGATCCCAGAAGTTTCAAACTTCTTATTGAAGGTCTGTTTGTGAATGATGTTTTCCTTAAAATTCATGAATTCATTGTTTTCCATATCATTTTTAATGAATTTAGAAGAACAGAGAAGAAAATATGAACATGCCAATACTGAAAAAGAAGGAAGTATAGAAGAAGAAATGCAGCAGAAGGAGTCCTGGGTATTCTACACTCAGGAGTCTCAGGGCCTTGGCCTCAGATGGGTTCCCACAATTGAAGGGAAGCCAGTGAATAATAAGGGACCAAGCCCAGAGACAGTGAGAAACAATCAAAAGCTACTCTGATTGTAGAGGAAAATGGAGAGAGAGAGACAGTTATTTTCAGATTGGAAGCATCCCAGAAAGCACTAGCAGGTACTGGGAGCATGAGACAGAGAAGGGAAAGGGCCTGGCCCAAGTTGCGGTAACAAGCATGTTACATCTGCAGATGAGGAGGGGGAGGCTCCCGCTGTGGACAACTGGGTCACGGTCCTGCTGCTACTCAGCAATACATGGCAGACTCACCACATGACCAGGCAAACGTGATCACAGAATGTGGAACGGGATTCCATGTTTTCAAAGATTTCCAAGTTTCAGTGAGAGCAGAGCAACCCAGATCATGCCTCCATGTTTTCTTAGTGTGAGCCAGAAAACACTGAAATATGTTTAAAGTGCTGAAGTGCAGAGTTATCTTACTTGGTGGGCACTGGACAATTTAATAAGCAAGGGAACTGGGTTATTTATCCACTAACTTCTGTCTGTACCTGATGAGGTCTGCTCCTCGGGACATCCGCTCTCTGACGACTTCAGGCTGTGCCAGCCCCAGCCAAGCATATTCCCGTAGCAGGTGAACCCTCAGACAGTTACAAGGGGTTGAAGTGAGACATCACACATGCGCACGGGAACAGTGAACAGCAAGGACTTATTAAAGAGGCCCCAAAAGCATCCTCCTGGAAGAAACATGTAGGTCATCAGGGACTCACTCAAGGCTGATTTGCACAGCACGCAGTAGGGTGAGGCTTTGAGGAGGCCCCTTACTCTTAAGGAAGCACTCACTCGCAGGGTAGTTCACCTGAGGGACAGCTCTTGAGTGACCCGGGGAGGAAGTGCCTCCTTAAATTTTGTTCCCTGGACACCACACTTGGCTCGCACTAGTCCTGATCATGCTGATCCAGTGAGAGAAAGAGAGGACCCCTGTTTCAGTAACACTGAGTAGCAACGGTGAGGGTGTCAGTCATTCAAGAGATTTTTTCCCCCCAAACAGGAAGGATGGTAGTGGTAGAAATTGAGTCTCTTCCCTATCTTAAAAAACAGGCTGGCAAGAAAGAGATGAAAAAGCAGGTGGCATCCACTAGGCTAGGTAGGGCTAGGTTCCCCTTCCTGTAGGGACACTCAACTGCGCAATGTGTGAGAGGGCGAGGCAAGGTCACAGAGCTGGCCTGCCCTGACTGGGTCCACGGCCAGCCCTTTTGCAGCCTGTTGCCGTGCAATGACTGACTCTCTGGCTGACCTCATGCTCACGACCTTCTTGAGAGAAGAAAGAATAACTAGAACTCAGGATAGCACCACAGTTCACTAGGCTAAGGTGAAGCTAGGAATTGTGTAAACACATTTATCCCCAACACAGCGGGTCTCAGGTCCTTCCATAGCAGGGAAGCCTTTCTTTCCCAGAGAGTGGTGAGACTCTGCTTCCAGATTCTTCGAACAGGTGGACCCCAGAGTAGCACTGGCCACCCGACTGTCCAACCAATGAACAGCTGTTACGAACAGCTATCATGATTTTTGTTCAGGGACAGAAGATTCTCTGGAACTATTTTATAGGGAAAAAGTTCCTAGAGGGTAAGTCGTAACTGAAAAATAGATCAGTAACCAATCTAGAAGTAGAGTCAGAACACCCTTCCCTTCGACAGACACAGCACTATGTTTGGTATCAGGGTCCTTCTAGAATCACACCACCTTAGCCACAGCAGGAAGGAGGTTTTGTAGGAGACACTGCAAACCAACAGCTCAATGGCAAACGTGTCTGTCTCTTTAAGTTGTCACCACTGGGCCCTCCCTCCGTGGGCTTCCTGAGCTCTGAGGTCTGAGAGGCCCTCTGTGTGCTGGGAGGAACAGCCTTCCGCCCTCACGACCAAAGGGAAAGCAGTAGGTCAGGGGCTCCTCCAAGCCTGTCACCCATTCTGCAGGAAAGCTGAGCCCAGCAGGGGAAGGGAGACGCCCGGGAGCAGGAGCCGTGACCAACCAGAAGGAGCACGGCTCTGAGCGTGGGTACTGCCTGAGCACCTGCACTGCAGCGGCATCACCAGGGTGAGTGAGGGCGGAGCAACCCACATCATGCCTCCATGTTTTCAAAGATGTTCCGAGTTTCAGACAGAGTAAGTTCAGAAGTCTTATGAACATCTCCCCAGCCTGGAGGGCACACCTCCTTATTTAAGAGCAAAATCAGCCTCCTTAATACAGTAAGAGAAGTGTGTGCTAGAACCACCTGCAGGAACAAAATATATTTTTCAAGGAATTAAATTGTTGCCCAAAGTGCATATTTGGCAAAGGCAAAGAGATTTCTGTGAACACACAAGCAGTCTAACCTCAAAGCATGTTCCACTGCGGCAAGTCTGGACCCACCCAGCCCCCACACGAGACAGCAGCAGCGAGGACTGTGGTCTGCAAGCCTTCTCGCTGTATGACCCCTTAAATACCCAACCCCTAGTTCAAGCTTCTCCACACCAGCTGCTGGGGCACCTCAAATTCTTCATCTGTACAATGCAGGAGTTTGAATAACTAACTGGTTTCCTTTGTGGACTGATTACATCAGAAATATCAGATACATGAGTCAGAATCTCTGCTGAGGACCCTAAAAAGGTGCAATGTATAGAACACTCAAGTCTGAAAACAGCAAATTTGGGAGGCGCTGACAGATGAACTGTGAAGTCTCCGAGTGTTAAGAATACAGGAGTCCATGTTTTACATACCTCAGTAATCAAGAGCCATTTGTCATCCCAGATTTCACTGGGGCTTACTTCCCTCTTAACTATTTTAAATCATTTCCACCCCATTCCAAACTATATGGAAAATTCCAATGACCTACGCAGGTGTTGGGCGAATTCCCTGCAGCACATTTACTCATTTCCATCTTTGACAAGAACTTCTTGTTTAGCTAAACCCTTGTTCTTTGCGCTGAATCTTGTGGCTCTTTCTCCACTTCCGTTATGCTCTCAGTTATGGGGGTTTGCTGATTTCTCCACAGAAAATACCTCATCAGGTAAGGCCCGTGGGGTGAACTACTGAAGGCTTTGGGAGGTGGCAGGGCAGTTACTGCAGAAACAGAGCCCACTTTGGACTGAGTACCAGGCAAGCCTGTCATCTAAGTCCTTTGCCGCCAACCTCTCCCTCTGCTTTTCCTTGCGTGGTGCCAACGGGAGAGAACACAGTCACCTGCAGTGACCTGGGTGAGAATGTGAAATGGCTGGGGGAGCACAGACAGGACAGACGGAAATGTGGGGAGGATGAGTCGCAGGAGTAAAAGCACAAGGTGGGCGCACAGACCCCGAATTCTGCTCTCTGTGTTGCAGCTGACTGAGGAGGGGTCGCCTGGAAGTGGGCTGGGAAGTAGACCGAGGAGAGGCTGCGCCCCGTGGCCAGGTTCTCACGTGACCAGGCAAACGTGATCACAGAATGGGGAACGGGATTCAGCGTTTGAATTGGGTAGGATCGCTTGACTTTGAGAGGCCTCAGATTGCAGGGCAAGGACATCAGGAGTTGGAGGGCACATCCCAGTCTCTCCAGCACACTGGTCATGTTTAGACACATGTAGACAAGCCAAATTATTTGGTTTCCGAGGGCAGACCAGAGGCTCTCCAGAGCAGCTTGAGTGGTATGTTTTTTCCCTACTTCCAAAGCAAAATTCAACTTCTCCCTTGTTTGTTTCCCAGGCCTACCACCCTAAGGCAGTTCTCTAAGTCCTGAGCACATTTTCTGGTTCTCACCGTTTTCCAAAGTCTCTCCTGGCTGCTGAATCTCCTGGGAAAACCTGGTATCAACAGCTTCTGTCACTGGCATAGACTCTCCTGGGAAATTCCTAGTATCTAAGCTTACTCACTGGCATGGCAAGGTGCTATAATCTCCCCTCTGTGTTTCGCATTTGGAGGTCCTGAAAAGGAAAACCAGGCTCTCCACACATTCCCACGGTGCCAGTCCAGCCCCAGACCAGGTCCTTCCAATGCCCCCCTAAATCCTGATGCTCAGGCAAGGCAGGAACCATGGCTTTTTCACGGTGGTGTCACCAGCTCTTTGGACTGTGCCCAACACACTGCAGGTGGTCATGCCACCTGATGAATGAATGGACAAATGAATGAATGAATGAACAAATTGTGTTTGGGACTCTTCTAGGGAAGCATGGGAGGAAGGAAGATGGCAAGAGATGAAGAGAATCCTTATGGTAAGAACATATCTCGCATCATGTCCTTGCCCCAGTGTGGGCTCTGGGTGACAAGCGAAATGGGCTGCCTCCTGACTGGGCAGACACGAGCCCCAGAGGTGCTGTGAGGTATTTAAGTGCTTTTACTAGCCTGTGCGTCCATTCCCAAAGTAAATGAGGATGATAAACCTCCTCTGATCTCCACAGAGATGTAGAAGATATCATGCCCCAGAGGGAACATGCTCTACCAGGTAGAATGTGCTGGAGAACAAGGATGGAGGGTTGAGCAGGTATCCTAATGGGCAGCAGGGACAGGACAGGGAGGAGAGGGAGGGAGGAGGGAGGGAAGAAGAGAAATCATCTCCTCTAATCCTCTCAGCAACCCTTGAGAAGCAACTGCAAGTATTATTGGCATTTTTGCAGAAGAGGTTTGAGGCTGAGGTTAAGCAACTTCCCCCAGGGTTACACAGCCAGCACATGGTGGGGCTGTGATTCAAACCCGGGAGTCTGGGACTCCACGGCCCTTCACCACCAGGCCAGGCTCCCCCACTTTGTTCCGGACTGGATTCTGGGAGAAGCGTTGCAGAGCCCCCGGGAGTTGTCCAACGTGGAACAGCCCGGCCTGTTGGGGTGGGGGTGGGGGGATGCGCAGGGGCCATGCAGATGAAGCAGTGGGCTGGCATTGCAGAGGGGAGTCTAGTTGTAAATACACGTCCACGGGTACGTGTGGCGCATCTAAAGGCCATGTGGGGAAGCCAGAATGAGAGAAGTAGACGGGGAGAGACCCCCGGGAGTTCCAGACGCGGCGACCAGGTCCCCTCAGGAAAGGCCTGGCTCGAAAGCCAAAGCCGAAGGCGCTGTTGTTTCCCACGCTCAGAGGGCGCCCAGGAGGCCCAGCGGACCAGGAGGCGAGCCTCTGAGTCTGGAGGCTGACACGGGTCAATCGGTCCTCGCAGGTTTCGACGACTACGGGCCCGCCCCGCAGGAACCCAGGCTGAGGCTCATCCTGGCCGGGAAGACCGGAGCGGGCAAGAGCGCCACGGGCAACAGCATCCTGGGCCAGCGGCGGTTCCCCTCCAGGCTCGCGTCCAGGTCCGTGACCAGGACCTGCGCGGTGGCCAGCCGGCGGTGGAACGGCTGGCACGTGGACGTCGTGGACACCCCGGACCTTTTCAGCTCCGAGGTGGACCAGACAGACCCGGCGTGCGCCGAGCGCGGCCGCTGCTACCTGCTGTCGGCGCCCGGGCCGCACGCCCTGCTGCTGGTCACCCAGCTGGGCCGCTTCACCGCCCAGGACCAGCAGGCCGTGCGCGCGCTGCGGGAGCTGTTCGGCGACCAGGTGCTGGCGCGCACCGTGCTGGTCTTCACGCGCAGGGAGGACCTGGCGGGCGGCTCGCTGCAGGACTTCCTGCGCGACACGGACAACCGCGCGCTGCGCGAGCTGGTGGCCGCGTGCGACGGCCGCGTGTGCGCCGTGGACAACCGCCCGGCGGGCGAGGAGCGCGAGGCGCAGGCGTGCGAGCTGCTGGCGCTGGTGGAGCGCCTGGCGCGCGCGCACGGGGGCGCCCCCTACACGAACGACGTGTACGGCCTGGCGCGCGCTCTGGGCGCCGCGGGCCCCGAGGAGCGGCTGGGCCGCCTGGTGGCCCGGCTCGCGGCGCGCGCGCGGGGCCGGCGGGGGCGCGGGCTGCGGGCGGCGCTGCGCGGGTGGCGGCGCGCGCTGGGGGGCGGTTGGAGGCTGGCGGCGGCCGCGCTGCTGGGGGGCGCCGTGCTGCTCTGGCTGCTGTTCCCCAGGCCGCCGCCCCAGGCCCCCGCGGGGAGTGTGGGTCTTCAGAATGCTGGGAACCTGGCAAGAAAAATGGAGCATTTGGCGCTGAAAGGGGACTAAAACTTATTCCAAAGGGATCCTGTGGTTTCAGACAGTTTTAATGACAGAAAGCATCGGACACTATCAATTTTGCCAAAGCTTAACCTGTCCTCTTTAGTTTTTAAGTTTCATCTTTTTAAGATGTACTTTTTAAGAAGTACATCGTTCTTAAATTTGTCTAAAACATCCTCAAAACATTTTTGTAGTCTTGTGTATCTTTTTCCTCTGGAAATACAGTAATGATTAGTAGTTTTCAGTAGAAAATGGATTCATGGCAAAGAGAAAACAACCATTTTTATTTTAAGTGCTTAAAAAAAGTAGATGCTTAATCTGTTAGGGCTGCTATTTTTTAAAAAATCTGACTGAATGGCTTGTAAGCAACAGAGAACAATTTCCCAGAGATCTGGAGGTTGAAAGTCCAAGACTGGGATGCCAGCCTGGTCAGGTTGTGGTGAGGCCCCCTTTGGGGCTGTCGCTGTGAACACGTCCCTGTGTGCTCGCTGGGTGGAAGGGATGAACGAGCCCCCTGGGCCTCTCTACAAGGGCACATTCTCCTTTATTGGGCCTCTGCCCTCATGACCTCATCACCTCCCGAAAGCCCCACCTTATAATGCCATTCTTTAGGGCCTTCAACATAGGAATATTATGGGAGGACAAACCTTCAGACCATAGCAGGCACTGACCCGCCTTAATACGTTTCTAGTTCCTAAACGTGAGTAGGTATCTCTCTTTGTGATCCTTGTAGGTTGTAAGTTTTTTATTATCAGTGAGAGTTATTGGGGTCACACGTGTTGATGTTTACTTCTGATACATGAGTTTATTTACTAGTACGATGAATTCATAGTCATAAATAGATAAATTTCACACTCATAAATACTCCACATGTATTTTTTATAATAATAAATTCTCCATATTATTGTATGTGTAGACTTGGGAGTTAGTGTATAGGCTTGTAATATAGGGTAGGAAAGAATTTGCTGTCAAAGACATTTACAAAGCACAAGCATAAACAATCTATGTATGTACAGAGTCAGACACACGGAGAAAGTCCAACTCCTAAGGCCTAGGAGCCCAAGACATGGCGAATACTGAAGCTGGACAAGAACAACAAGGGATACTGCCCTGCCCCCGCCACGGGCCTCACAAGTAATGATTAATTAATAACAGTAGTCTGCTGTGAGGAAGGGTCTGGCCTGGAGGGCCTCTGTGAGGCAGAGTTGTGCAGAAATGACTGGGAGCTGAAGGTGAAGGAACAGGACTGGTGAGTAAAGCCTTACAGCGTTAGAGTGCTCACCCCGATTCACCATCAGAATGGACGTCCAGCCCGGGAAATGAGGGGAGGAAAAGAAGTCATATAAATGGGGAGGGAAGTAATAAACCTATCTTTATTCAAAAATGACATGATGGCTGCGCTGCTGGGAGGCACCGCGCTGCTCTTCCGCCTCCTGCCCTGGGCCCAGGGCGAGGTCGGTCCCAACTGACAGACTGACAGACCGTAACCAGATCTGACCAGTCCGCTGACAGTCACACCGATCCCCGTGCTCAGGGCCTGCAGGTCCTCCTGTCCAACTCCATCTCGCCCTAGTTTCCCACTTGCTTCCAGGGCCCATCTCCCACTTAAACCATCCCGGGCGGCCTGGCCTCCCTGGGCTTTCCCCTTACAGAAGCCAACCAACTAAGTGTCGCTGTTACCATTGACCCCAGCCGCCTTTCCCTGTCATTGAGTTGTCGTTGCTCCTGAAGACATATGAGGAGCATTTGTCCTCTCAAACCCTGGACTTCCCCCAGGACCAAGGGCAAGAGCCAACACTGAGCAGAACCTCAATCCGTATTGTTTATTTGAACTGAACCTAAATTGTATAAATAAATACCATCCTGTTGTGTTAAAGAAAATCAGTATTTCCTTTAGTTGGTAGGCGTTTGTTCTGCCCTATATGCCCATTGAACAACACACTACCCTGTCATTCCTAACCCCATCCACATAAACCAGGTGCCCAAGAGCAGGCACAGACACACATTCAGGTGTGTGACCACACACAGAGAACACACAGGTGTAGAACTGCCCATCCGTGCCACCGGGGGAGGGTCTCCCCATGCAGCCCCGTTCCCACCCCCAGCAGAGTAAATACAGACAATTCTGCAAGTCCGAGGAGAATTGAGCAGAGGCTCGATTTTCTAGGGGCCACTGAGACTCTGCAGAGAGCCTGCTTCCAAAGAGGAGTCTTTCANTGGTTTAAACTTTCAAATGATAGTCTTCCCCTGAGGCTAATGGGAGCAGAGAATGTGGCTGTCCTAGAAAAGCCATAGAAAGTTGTGTCTTCTTATGACTTCTTATGTTATCACTGAACCTTTTCCAGCACCTCTTATACAAATCAACCCCTTCTTTCTCACTGCAGAAGAAACAGTTTTGCATTCACCTTTTATCGTTGCCCAGGGCTGTGCTTCCCATTTTCTGAAGAACAGGTATGAGAAGTCTACTTTTCCTTTGGATAAAGGCAGTTAGCTAACACAGGTGGTCACCCAGTTACCAGGCTAGTTTAGGATGAGCTATGTGTAACAATAGTTATTAAGCTTGCCTATGATGTGCACGTTCCAGTTTTGTGCCTGCTCAATCATAAAACTGTTTTCTTTCTCTCCTGTTTTGGTGGAGGGGTTTTCTGGATTGGCATGAGATTGTTTTAAATTATTTTTCCCAACAAATCTCACACAATAATTATTATGTGACTCTAAGCTTAACTTCAAATGTCAACTGCAAGGAATATGGGGATTCTCTGGGACAAGGCTGGCCCATGCCTAAGCCCATATTGTGTTCTCCATCTCACTTTGCAGCGTGATTGCTTTCGGTTCAGTACTCGAGCCTTCAGTGTGCAATCAGTGGACACCTAGTCCCCGAAAGTTCCCACAGGACGGGTCCATCGGATCGCAGAGAAGGGGCAGCCAGCGCACGTGGTCTGGGGAGCCCTTCACAGGCACGTCCGTGGAGTTCTGCCAGGCCTGCTGTGGACCAGCAATGCCCTCTGCCCCTGGTAAGCAGGCGCATCCTAGAAGGAGGGCTCAGAGGAGGGTTCTGAGGAGTCGGGGGTGAGCAGGTGCTCCTGCCACGTGAGTTGCGGGAGGGGGCTGGCGCCCCCAGGAGCCTCACTGTGCCTAGACGGCATTTCTCGACAGGGGCCCGTCACCGCCTTCAGAACCTCTTCCTCCAAACATCGTCTCTTTTAGTAGGTCAAGAAAGGAACTGGGCGGGGGCCTGGGCGCCCGGCGGGCTCCAAGAGGAAGCGTCCCTTGGCGGCAGCAGCTGCGCGCGCTCACGTGTCTCGGGGCGGCCGCCGCAGCCGCCGGGCCGCCCACCCGAGGGAGCAGCGCCCGCGCTCCGCGATCCCCTTTGCCTTCTTCCCTGCCGCCGGCCCTGGAAGCTCCGGCCTCAGCCGCGGCTCCTCCGTCACCGGTAAGGGGGGTCCGCGCGGGTCCCAGCGCCTTCGGGGTCTGAGAGCCAGCGACCCGGCCCCGGCTGCTGCCGACGGCTGTGCTCGCACCCAGTGTGCCGCGCTCCCGGGCTCGCCCGTCGGGGAGGAGGGCGGGGCTGGTGAGCCCTACGGGCGCCAGCAGGTCTCCGCGGGTGGGAAACAGGCTTGGGGGCAACTCGCGCTGCGTTCAAGCGCACCACATCGCAGAGCTGCACTGGGTCCCGTCTAATTGCCCCTAATGAGCTTCAAAAGGTTTCTTAAAGCCGGACTGTCTCATCCCATATCACAGATGAGAAAACTGAAACTCCAGAGGCGCCCTCGCCCAGGAAGGGGAGTGAGAGGAGGGCATTACCCTCCTCACCTCTCATACCCCAGCCCCATCAGGCCCTGACATGAGCCTCTTCGCAGAAAGGTCTGCCAGTAGGGGATGCTTCTTAAGGCTCCATCGGTCTAATGTGGAATCATTACTTTCTCACCCAAAGCCACGTGTTCCACACCAGACCCCTCAGTAGAGAGGGTCTCATGAGCTTCATCTTCTGGAAACCACCCCATACTCCCCCAAATACCCCACACCTTTCCCATGACACAGTGTTGGACTCTTCTCTGTGGCAGACTCCCGTTCAGGGTGTATGGGGACAGTCTCTGTGTCTGCTAAACCTCATGTGAGAATGGGGTCACAAAATAGCAATGACTAAACTACAAATCAAGTGACTCTGATACGGGAAACACAGGGACTGGGGCAGATGAGTGAAGGAGACACAAAAAGGCTGACAGTGATGTTTTTATCTTTCCTAAAACAGTATTAGAGAGCCTGCTTTCTCTGGTTTGATAAAATAAGGTAAAATCAGGCTAATATAATTTTAAAACCGGAATGTATATTATGTTCGTTTGCTTCAACTCCTTTTCTAATCTAGATCCTCCTACTATCTCTGTCAGATGCTGTTATCATCTCTGCTTGCACTCTGCCTGCCACTCTCTCATGATGCCTGGTCCCGTTTTGGAGCAGCCTAGTAGAATTTTCCTTTTGGAGAAGAAATCTGCCTCTGTTCCTAATGCATGCTCACTTTCACCTGCTCCACGGTTGGCATGCACCACAGTCCTTCAGGTCTACAGTACTTCCCCAGTCTTTTTCTAGGCTTTACTTGGTCCTGTTAATATTTTGTGACCCATTTTAGCATCTCCATCAATACCCTGTCTGACTTGCCTCCAGATACTTTATTTCTTGATATCTGCCTAAAAGCCTTTTCTTAGGGGAGACACATGTCTCCCCTGCAGCCTGACCCACTCAGAAGATGGTTCAGGAGAACTGCTGCACTGCATCTCCGCTAATGTAACTAGTTTGTTGGCTTTTTGTGACAGGTGCCCTGCCCGGTTTGGGTCACACTGATAATAGAGTCAAGTAAAACCACCAGATTGTTTTAAACTGAAATACCTCAATTCAGAGCAACTCCTGCCCCCTCAATTTTATCTTTGAATAATCTTATTTTTTAGACATGCACTGGAGATTTTGCAGTACATTCCTCTATGTGATTTTAGGGCAGGCTTCCAGCCTGTCAACATCCCCTTATGTCCAGAGCATGGGAATGGCAACACTGTATGTGGTATTCCTGGAGGCTTGTGGACTTAATTTGGAACAATCTTTTCCTCTTTTGGAATGAGGAGGGAGAATACACAGACAAAAGGAGCCATGTTTTGGTCTTAGCTCCATGACAGTTGTGGGACACTGAATAGATCATTTGATGATCAGTTTCCTAATACTTTAATAAAAATTTGAATACCTGTATCGATCACATCACAGGGAATTTAGGAAAACAAAACGATGGCCATGAAAGAACTTTGAAAGTTACAAATGGCTGCAGAGAAGGTTATGATGATAATGACCTCATTGTCAACGTCTTCACACATCAGTAGATGGATTCCAACATATTTTCCAAGGTCTCTGAGCCTCAGAAAATGTCATCTGAAGTGGAAAAGATGTCAGAAAATTTGAGCAGTTTAGGCAAAAGAGAGAGGCAAAGACAGCATATAGGAGATGGTGGTGGGGAAAACACTCCCCTGCACTTAAGGAAAAGCATAGAAGAAGGAACAGGAAGGTAACAAGGAGGTTGTTATAATATGTCTTGATAATGTGAAAATGGATGGTTTTCCTTCAGGATGGCCAAAAATATCCACTGCATGAATAGGAAAGTGTGCAAAGGTTCTTTCTATATAACAGAACCAACCTGAATAGCAAATAGACTATGAAAAGTGTTTGAATTCAATGGTAATCAGTGAAATGCAAGTTTAAACCAATTAAGACATAATTATTTATGCTCACAGGGGTGACAAACAAAGTCTAATATCTCCAGGTACAAGTGAAGATTCTGGAATTCTCATATAAGGCCAGTGCCAGTGTGAGTTAGCACAACTCTCTTGCTTTCAAATTTGGCCGTATCTAGTCAGATGGTAGCTGCATCCCAGGAAATTTGCTGCACTCAAGCGCAAGGAGATATACATGGTAATTATTTTGCACTGTTGTTTGTAGTAGCAAGCCTATATTTTGAAACAACTTAAATGTTTGTCATTAAATAAAATGTTGCATAAATAGCATCACTTATACAAAAGTTCAAATGCAAAAATAGTACTATATACTACCTGTAAATACATGTGTGTGTAGAAGTGTAAACACACAAATGAGAATGTCACATAAAAACCTGAGAATATGGTTTCCCTCTCAAGGGCAGAGGGTGGAAGAATGAGACTGGGGAGCTGAAAAAAGAAATGGAATTCTGTGTGTAATGTTCTGACTTTCCCAGTCAAACAGAGGAGCAGCAATACACAGGCCAAAGTACTCAGGTTGGTTCATTGCAGATGGTGGTTGTTTTATGACTTCATGTACTTCTCCACATAGAAAGCTTGTTTCATGATTTCACTCATGTGTGGAGTATAAAAACAAAGAAAAAACTGAAGGAACAAAACAGCAGCAGACACACAGAACCCAAGAATGGACTAACAGTTACCAAAGGGAAAGGGACTGGGGAGGATGGGTGGAAAGGGAGAAATAAGGGGGAAAAGAGGGCATTACAATTAGCACACATAATGTGCGGGGGGAGGCACGGGGAAGGCAGTATAACAGAGAAGATAAGTAGTGACTCTATAACATCTTACTATGCTGATGGACAGTGACTGTAATGGGGTATGTGGGGGGGACTTGATAAGAGGGGGAGTCTAGTAACCATAATGTTGCTCATGTAATTGTACATTAATGATACCAAAATAAAAAATAATAAAAAGAAAGAAAGAAAGCTTGTTTCAGACTGCAGAGTCTTTAAAACTGAATAAATAAAATATAGTCTCAGAGTTCATCTTAATCACAGTTGTGTGTCACATGCTTGGCCTTTTCTAAGGCCGAGAAGCAAGACACATTATTCTGCCTCATTTGAGTGAAACGCTTCTGCCAGCGTTTGTGCCAATTTCTGGTTAAATCTACTGGGATGCAAAAATGGCGATTGTTGGAAGGCTAGGACCTCAGGGCCCACCAGGAAAAATGTGTGATTAAAGCTGAGCAGGACGTGAGTCTATCCTGAACTTGTCCTGGGTGTCGATTCTTTCCCGTGGGTCATGGCACCACCTTCTTGCCGCCAGCTGCTTGTGGGGTGGGAGGAGGGCGGCCGTGCTCAGCGCCCCCTCTCCCACTGCTTCCTCTCATAGCAGTCCTTGGAGCCCTCGTCCCCAGTGCCACCCTCCCATCCGAAGGACCACTGTGCCACATGAAGAGCATCTGACACAAAGAGTTTCGGGGACTGGAGATTCCAGTTCTTCAAACAAGCTAGTGTCCTTCGTAGCAAGGCAATTTTTTCTATTCTAGCAAGTTTGCCTGCTTTGATTCCAAAGTAATAATAACAACAACAATAATAACGTTCCACTCCTTGTTCTATAGAAGTATCCTTTCTTTATTTCATGTCTTTTCAAGATGGAGGAAGAGAATCAATTGATTTGTTTTAAAACATTGCCTTCTTACCTGTTAGCTGAGCAAAAAAGTAACCGTGCCTTTGCATTAACAAGCCAGCTTCGCCTGGTTTACTTAAAGTTATTGACTGATGTTTGAAAGTAAAAACAAGTTAGAAAATTAGCAATGGGAATGGCTCCTCTAAAGGTAATTATTCTTAGGTGTCTGAATTGGAGATGTTCTCAGGCCTCACCAACTCCCATAGGGACACTTGCTCATATTCCTTTCCTGTTTGTATTTCAGAAAAGAATGGAAGGGCTTCAGAAGAGCAGATACGGAACTATGGCTGAAGGTAAGAAAGCCTCAGAGGGCTCAAGGGCTCCGGGCCTGGGGGGGCTGCCTCCTCTCTCTCCACCCCCCTCACCTCAACGCAGTGACAGACACTGGCTATTTTAAACGGAAGAAGAAAAAGGCAGCTCCCATTTGTTCCTTACCTTCTTCTGTCTTCACCCCCAAAACCCCCATATATGACACTCTCCCTGCACATGATGGGGGGCAACGTAGAAATGAAACTGCAAGTCGGAGGTTGGAGGGTTTGAAACTGAACTGTGAAAAGGACTTCCCTTGTCTGCCCTCAGCCCAAAGAAGGAAGAAATTCCCTGGAGAGATTTAGTAAACCCACTTGCTGTAAAAACATCCCAGACTACTCAGGGAAAGGGAGACCCAACACAGAGTAGAAGGAATAAAATAATAGAGTTTAGGACCCTGAAATGAATTTAATCCATCTGGGCTCAGGAGAACTCCAGAAACCCTTGGCTCCCGCACAGACTTTAGCTCTGGGCTCAGTGCCACCCGCTCCAGCACCAGTTTCCTTCCTGTTGTCTGCAGTTCAATCAGCCGAATGGGTGGTGTTTCCAACCCTGGTAGGTCTCACTGTCCTGCCTCCTACTCTCCTTCAGCCCCCCATTCAGGGTCTTCTCCCACATGTGACCCATGACATTAAGCACAACCTTCTGTCATCTCCATTTCAAGCGCCCAGCTTCCCACCCAAAGAGCAGAGACCCAGGGACATTCAGCTGGTCTTTGGTAAGAAGTCCCGGTAGCTCTGACATCTGAGAGTGTCCAGCACATCTGAACAAGTGTGCCTGGGAATTTGTGGGTGAAAAGAGGATACTATTTTCTCACCTGTGACTTCTTATCCTCTGCTTCCTCCTGACCTCACATTTATTTTGCATGAAACTGGCCTAAGCACCATGGAAAAGCACAGGCCCATTTTGCTTTCAGAAGCTGTGTTCCCCTGCTCCAGACAAGCGCTCACGGCGGCCTCCTCACTGTTTCTTCCTTCTGGGTCTTCTCCCTCTGGGTGCCTGCATGGGCGCCCAGTGTGGGCTTCCTGGGATCCAAGGATGTGTTAGAGTTGTAGGCAAACTTTTGTATGAATTTAGGCATGACTGTTTCTCTGGGAAGGAGATCTGCAGCTTTCATGAGATATCAGGGGGGGTCCATGACTTAAAAATCCTAAGATTCACTAACTTAAGACACAAAAATTTCCTTTTTTATAGGCAGTGTAGAAGATTACTGGTTTGCCGTATCGTCCTCATTAAGGATGGTCCTGGTGGGCAGGACAGGCAGCGGGAAGAGCGCCACAGGGAACAGCATCCTCTGCCAGCCCGTGTTCGAGTCCAAGCTGGGGACCCAGTCCGTGACCAGCACGTGCCAGAGGGCGGCGGGCACGTGGAACGGGAGGAACATCCTAGTGGTGGACACACCCTCCATCTTTGAGGCGAAGGCCCAGCACCAAGAGATGTACAGGGACATCGGGGACTGTTACCTGCTCTTGGCCCCAGGGCCCCACGTGCTCCTGCTGGTGACCCAGCTGGGGCGCTTCACTGCCCAGGACACAGTGGCCGTGAGGAGGGTGAAGGAGGTCTTTGGGGCAGGGGCCATGAGACACACGATCGTCCTCTTCACCCACAAGGAGGACTTGGGGGCCGAGTCCCTGGACGACTACGTGGCCAACACGGACAACCTCAGCCTGAGGAGCCTGGTGCAGGAGTGCGGGCGGAGGTACTGCGCCTTCAACAACCGGGCCCGCGGGGAGGAGCAGCGGCAGCAGGTGGCCCAGCTGATGGCCGTGGTGGAGAGTCTGCAGAGGGAGCTGGAGGGCGCCTGCCTGGGCAACGAGCTCTTCTTTGATGCGCAGATGCTCCAGCGAGGAGGCGGGGCTGGCGCGTGCGAAGAGGACCTCAGGCCCTACCTGGCCAAGGTGCGGCGGCAGGTGGAGAGGCAGAAGCGAGACCTGAGGGAGGCCCGGAGGTGCTGGGTGGCCAGGGTGCTGTGCAGGGTCAGGAACTGGATGGCTTCTCACATTGGAATATCTGCTGCTCTTGCTGTATGCATTTTGATTATACTTGCTGTTTTAATTAACTTGAGTTTTACTCACAAACAATGAGCATTTTCAGATGATTTTCACCATCAGCTTTTGTTTTCAGTCACTCTCTCTGTTCGTGTTTACTGTATTTTAATTTCTCTTCCTTCCATCAGACCTATCTTCATGTTAAAAACATTCTTTTTCAATTACCTTTAAATAAATAAACTCCAAAGGAAAAAACATTTCTCCTTTCTGTTTTGTTATAAATTGTGAGGGTGACTAATAAACTAACCAGACCCTGTGCTGGCATATTTGGGGGCTTGCAGAAAGGAAGGGGTCGGTCTGTGACGCTGTGGGGCCGTCCCACCTCTGGGCCCCGCTTTGTTCACCTGCCTGTTGCAGGGACACTCATGTATTAAAAGCCAGCAGCAAGAATCCTTATTGCCTTCGGAAACATGGTCTGATTTCATCAGAGTTGGTTGTAAAAGATGATACCCCGTGCCCTTCCTGCCTCCAGTGGAGGGAATGAGGATGTCCTGGGGGGAAATTCTGGGGTGTGAAGAGGCCCAGGAAGAGGTGCAGGAGGGGCCTGGACTCCAGGGGAAGGAAAGAAAAGGGATCACACAGCACAATGGAGGCCTGAGCCTTAGGGCAAGCAGAGTCAGTGAGAAATTCCCAAGGCTGGGAAGTAAAGGAACTGGCATTTCTTAGATTAGGGTTTTTGCAAAGCCAGATATTAAGGCTTGGCAGATATCTAGTCTAGGCGGCAGCTTTTCAGCTGTGACCTTGTAGCGCAAAAGCTGCTGAGGACAACGTAAGTGATGTGTGAAGCTGCATTCCCATCACACTGTTAGGAACACTGAAATTTGCATTTCATGTAACTTTCATATGTAGCAATGAAATATTCTTTTGATTTCTCCAACCATTTAAAAATGTGAATGTCCTTCTTAGTTCACAGTCTGTACCAAACAACCGGCAAACCCGATTTGATCCCTGGGCTGTAGTTTGTGGACCCTGGTCTTAGAGTATATTTCCCATGGTTGTTAGTTGAGCTGCATTGTAATGCGACCTTTTTACCCCAAACTCAGTTCCTCATCATCCTGGGAAATATCTACAGGGAACTTGGAGAAAGGGTGTGTTCCACAGTTCAATAGCAATAAAGAGAAAGGGGCACGCTTTGGGGGGGTGGGTCATGGACTTAGTGGAAACAGGAAATCAGGTGGGGAGTTCCCTGGGTGGCCCTCCCTGACACACTCCTTCTTTTGGGTAGCTGCCCACCTTCTCTACTCCTCTGAGGCCTGTAAAGGAAACCTGCAGTCCTCCCAGGCAGCCTGTGACCACATGGGTGAATGATTAATTCTGGATGAGTTTTAGGAATTCAACCTGGACACCCAAGTGTTCATCTCTAAGCCTTCACTGGCAATAAACCTGCCATGCTGATCTCTACAACTGAATCACGGAACCATTCCAAACAGGTGCGAGGGGCGTGACACATAAGCTTCTCAAACCCTTGAAATCCTAGAAAACTCGAGTTTTCAGACCAAGGCCACCTCCTCAATGCAGTGTCCCCGGGTTGTCCAACCGCCCTGCTGTGACTTAAACGAGTCCAGCTCTGCAGACCTTCATCATGTGGGTACTGCGTGTCAGACTCTATTCTGGGCAACATAGGAATATAAGATAACGTACAGAGCATCAATAAATGATACCAGGTTCCTGCCCCGCAAAAGCCATGGTTGGTAGAGGCGTGAAGGTTGGACGCAGATTAGGCGTGAGAGAGCTTTTGTGGAAGGAGGATGTGAGCCAAGAGGAGAGCCGGCAGGAGCGGGCTGGCCTCTCCCAGAGGTCGGAGGTCGCTTCAGGACTGTGGGGGAGGCGGGAGGGGCACAGGGAGAGAGGGGGAGGGGCCTGCGCATCACCCTCTGGGGTCAAAGGCTATCAGAGAGAACAAGGGGCCCGCTTTCTGTCCTGAGCCACCCTGGGACGTGCAGCTCCTTCCCTATCCTAGGCCTTCGGAAGAAGAGTGGGCTGAGCAGAGGAAGGCAAAGACCTTGGACGGGATGTGCTCACCTTGACGTCCCCTGGGACACTGCTCCGGTCACCCAGTAGACAAAGGGTGGCTTTAAGTTCAGTCCAAGGAAGGCACCCAGGCCAGGCAGATGCCAGGGGCAAGCCAGGCCCAGAGAGCAGGGCTGCAGGGGATGGGCTCCCTCTGGAGCGCAGAGGTCCATGCCTGGCCGCCCTGTGGGGAGGCAGCGCACCCACAAGGGGTCCCTTTCACCACAGGCAGGGCTGCCCGGTGCCCAGGGGACTGTCCACCTTCACTGACTTCCCGGGGAATAAAGCTGGAGAGTCGGCATGTGGATATTTTACAGTAGAGAAGGAGAAAGGGTTTTGTTTACTCACATGAATGTCCACCGAAGTATTTCTTGGGAAGTTTTCGAATGTGAGCTCTGTTTCTGCCCCAGAAGCACAGAGGAGGTCTGCCTACAGGCACCATATTTCCTCCTCCCTCACCCATTGTACCTCTTTAAAATAATCCAAGTAAAGGGATTTTTCATGCTGCCCAGGATTCAGTGAATGTCTGTTAGGGAGCAGGCACTTTAATAGTGGAGGGAGGTGCTTCCTAATTCCAGAAACAAGAAAGGAGAGATCAGTTCATTTATTCTTGAGGCCACTTCCTCAGGAAGCTTGAGAACAGGGACATTCTGAGGGATTTAAGGATTTTTTACAAAGGAATATGGGGAACGTTTCATTAGTTTGGAGGTTTTCAAATCAGGTAAAAGATGCTAAACTCAAACAGCTTAAATCATAAGGGAATTTATTGGCTGGCATCCTGGGAATCCAGAGGCGAGGCAGGCTTCGGGTCTGTTTGATTCAGGGGCTCGCGTTCGTCCCGTCTCTGCTCTGCTTGAAGCGCTACCTTCAACCTCAGGCTGGAAGCAAGACAGCAGCTGGAGCCCCAAGACCCAGCAGTGCCCAGAGGAAGAAGAGAGCCTGTCTGTCTCTGTGGCTCTCTCCTGGGAAAGGAGAGACCTTCTGGCGCACCCACGCAGACTTTATTCACTGCTCATCGGCCTGCACTGGGTCTCAGGTCCAGTCCAGAACCCGTCTCCAGAAGAGATGGGATCGTCTGCAGACCAGCCGGGCGCCCCTGGGGCTGAGCCGGTGTCCTCCTCCTCTGAGCCACGGGGCTCCGTCAGGACGGGTGGAGGCTGAGCCCAAACCAGAAGCTACAGGGGAGAAGGGGAAGAGGGGCCGCAGAGGTAACAAGGCCGGTCCTCTACAGACCATGCCGATTTCAGAATCGGTGTCATGCGGTGACAAGCGGGACATGGGACAGCGAACCCATGAGCTGATGCTGTAGAAAACACTGTGACACGGAGAACATACAGGATTAAAGGTGATACCAGATAATCACTAAGATAAGAAGGAAAAGGAAGCTGCACCAGACAAGACAGACACAGAGGTCATAGTGCAGAGCCATCCAGTTCCTGACCCTGCACGGCACCCTGGCCGCCCAGCCCCTCCGGGCCTCCCTCAGGTCTCGCTTCTGCCTCTCCACCTGCCGCCGCACCTTGGCCAGGTAGGGCCTGAGGTCCTCCTCGCACGCGCCGGCCCCGCCTCCTCGCTGGAGCATCTGCGCATCAAAGAAGAGCTCGTTGCCCAGGCAGGCGCCCTCCAGCTCCCTCTGCAGACTCTCCACCACGGCCATCAGCTCGGCCACCTGCTGCCGCTGCTCCTCCCCGCGGGCCCGGTTGTTGAAGGCGCAGTACCTCCGCCCGCACTCCTGCACCAGGCTCCTCAGGCTGAGGTTGTCCGTGTTGGCCACGTAGTCGTCCAGGGACTCGGCCCCCAAGTCCTCCTTGTGGGTGAAGAGGACGATCGTGTGTCTCATGGCCCCTGCCCCAAAGACCTCCTTCACCCTCCTCACGGCCACTGTGTCCTGGGCAGTGAAGCGCCCCAGCTGGGTCACCAGCAGGAGCACGTGGGGCCCTGGGGCCAAGAGCAGGTAGCAGTCCCCGATGTCCCTGTACATCTCTTGGTGCTGGGCCTTCGCCTCAAAGATGGAGGGTGTGTCCACCACTAGGATGTTCCTCCCGTTCCACGTGCCCGCCACCCCCTGGCACGTGCTGGTCACGGACTGGGTCCCCAGCTTGGACTCGAACGCAGGCTGGCAGAGGATGCTGTTCCCTGTGGCGCTCTTCCCGCTGCCAGTCTTGCCCACCAGGACCATCCTTAATGAGGACGACCCTGGGGTGAAGCTCTGCTCTCCTCCACCTGTCGGAGCACACGGAAAGGTAATGCATGATCGCTGTGGATGAAACACTTGTTACCCCCAAAATTCATATGCTGAAACCCTGCCCCCCAACGTGACGGCACCTGGAGGTGCGGCTTTTGGGGGTGATTTGCTTGAGATGATGTTATGAGAGTGAAGCCCCCATGGCAGAATTAATGCCCTCGTAAGAAGAGGAAGAGACGAGAGCTCTCTCTGTGGTGAAAGGGGGACACAGCAACCTGGACATGGTCTCCCACCAGACACGGAATCGGCCAGCACCTTCATGTTGGGCGTCCCACCTCCAGGACAGCGCAAAATCGGTATTTGTTTACCACCCAGCCTCAGGTGTTTGGGTTTAGTGGCTTGAACTAAGAGAGTAATAAATACCTTTTGAGAAGGTGGAGACAAGACAAAAAGGGAAAGAGCCAGAAGAAAGAGCATTCTCGGGCAACCAGGCTGTCAGGCACCCCCCCGTTCCATCGCAGGGCTGGGCTCGGAGTAAATGCCTTACACCGTATGTACAGAGTGAAGGGAATTCCCTCGGGATTGGTGGGGTAAGTTACTCCAGTTGGCCAGAGTCCTTGGGGGTCTTTCTTTTTGTGACTGCCAAATTTTGCCACTCTTTCCAGAATCTTCTCACCATTCAGTTCCCACTCTGAAGGCTATTCGATGTTCAGAGCTTCCTACAACCATTGAGCCATTTAACCCATACTTTCTACTCTTTCCATCCCTGCCTGGACTCTGTTTTACAAGATGATAAGGTTTTATCCAGAAAAACATACCCTAACTAAGTAGAGGATGACATCAAACAGCTAATATATTTCCTGGGGAAAATGCATGTTCTTTGTCTTGGGGTGACTGTAGTCTTGTCCCTTTCACTGAAGGTGGGAGTTTACTGCCCCAATGCTGTGTTCATGCCCCCCGAGTGTCATCAAGAACTCCACTAGATCTTACCTGTGGCACTGGCACCTTGTCCATCCTTCAGGAACCCTTCCATCTTGTTCTGGAGGGGAAAACACACGGGAATTGTTCATGCTGGAGGTAGATGTGGCATCCAACACAAACACCACACTTTATAGATGAGGAAATTGAGCCCCTCCAGGTCTGTTGACCCTCAGCCCTTCTCAGCGCTAGACTGAGCCTTCTCCTGAAGAGCGTATAGACAGCCCCCCTGACAGGGGAGCACGCATGCATGAGCTCCTGCAACCTGTGTTTAGCTGATTGGAGGCCCTCAAAATGTGCTTCCCACTGAAAAGACTAAACAAAGAAGGTGGTCATTTCCTACTGAGCATCCAGTCTCCCTGGAGCCCTTGTCTGCCTTTAGTGTCTCAGTCCTGGTGCCCAAACTCAAGCTCCCTGGCAAAGTATCCCCCTTCGGTAAACACAACAAAAGAAATTCTTCCCTAAGTCCATGTGGTGAGGGTGGTACGGAGGGTGACCAGTCATCCCAGTTTGCCCAGGACTGAGAGGATCCCCTGATCAAAGGAATTTCAGGGTTGAAACTGGGAGAGTCCCAGGCAAACCAGGACAAGTTGGTCATGCCAGCAGAAGGAGGTGTCATGAGTCCAGGTGGGCAGTGGGGTGGACTAGAGGCCCACCAAATAAAGGGAAGGCCTGCTTTGTTAGGCTCAGACCAACCATTGTGCCACCTAAGATCCATGTTTCCATGTTCTGGGCTCAAATAGTCTTGGGCCAGTAGCTATCTCATCTGTCTCCTGGCCGCTCACCTTCTCTCGCTGTCCCCTGTATGTCTCTCTCTTGATCCTTCTCTTCTTCCCTACCCTCTACTTCCTGCGCCCGGGGAAGGGACTGGCCCCGGCCCCACCCAAGAATGGCTTCTCAAGCTTCAGTGCTGAGAGGAACCTCCACAACCCTTTCCAGAGCTGCGGCAGGACTGCGCTGTGTGCGAAGTCTCAGGGTTTCCATGGAACAGGTTCACGGAGTTAACGCTGGAGAATGAATCTCCAGTTGAGGATTTTCAGGATCTAGGCCAGGAGAACTTAAAGAAAATAGCTTTGGGGAGTAAGTGTATTTTCTCAGGGCTCCCTGGGATCACTCCCTAGAGGACGTCATGGAGCTTGTCCCCACGCGAAACCGACTGCAGTGGTCGCATCGGCAGGAAAAATAGTTGAATAAATAAATAATGTGAGAATCATTTTAATTTGAATGTTAAAACCCAGCTTTTATTAGACACTTTCCCAGTAATATCTTGTAACTCATTCTAATGGCATTTTAGAGCCAAAAGAGAGAAAAGGTAGCAGCTTACGGGTCCTTGGGATCTCTATTTTTGACCAGATCTCACAGAAACTAGTCTGACCTGGTTTGTAAAGTTGATCCCAGAATATATATAATCCAAATAAGAGTTATGGAGGCTGAGGAATCGCGGTGCTGGTCATCCAAGCAAGCACGGGTCTGTCAGATGGAAACTGGCCTTGAGCATCTCTCTCATCCTGCCATCCATGAAGGAGGGAGCCTTTCAGATCAAGTGTGATGCTTAGTTTTAGGCGTCAGCTTGGCTAGGCCATAGTAACCAGTGAGTTGACTAAATCAAAAGGTATTTTGTAGATGTGGTTAAGTAAAGGTGGCCTGCCGTGGTGTGGTGGGCCTCGTCCAGTCAGCTGAAGGCCTTGGAGAGGTTTCCCAGCGGACACATTCTGCCTCAAGGCTTCAATATCGACTCCTGCCTCAGTTTCCAACCTGCTGGCCTGCCCTGCAGATGTTGGACCTACCAGCCCCCATAATCACATGGCCAATTTCTTAAAATAAATTTCATCATACATACATTCTATTGGCTCTATTTTTCTGGAGAAAACTAACACATCGATCCGGCTCATTCCTTCTGTACTGAAGCTTAGAGAAGGAGCTACCTGAGCATAATCTCGTCTTTGGCTAGTTCTTTTCACTGGTGGATTATATAGGGAGGATTTCTTCTTTTTTTAAAGATATAAGTGCACAGGGGGTGGCAAATGGGGAAACTGAAGCTTTTTAGATATCAGACTGTTTTGATGCTGATGATTTTGAAACCAAGACACTGTTCTGCCACGCCCCACCCTGGGATCACCTTGAAGGGTGGCCCCAGAGAGGGCCAGAGAGGAGGGGCTCCTGAGCATCTGAGGGCAGCGGGCGGGTAACAGGTGAGTGACGTGAGTACTGAATACTGAGGGGCGGCGGCGGGGGTGCTGAAGGGAGCGGCGGAGGGACCAGCCACCTGTGCTGTTCCTCAGTCCCTCGGGTTTGCTCCAGCAGCGCTACTCACATGACGGTTCTGGCCGGCCGACTGCTGGACGGCTACTTCTTCCGAGATGAGAAGCTTAGCTTGCTGCTCTCTCAGGATCCACCTGCGCAGGAAGAGAAGCGGGAAGGGGCTCTTTCCCAGGCACCAGCTCAGTTTTTCTCATCTTTCTTAATTGCTTTTTGTGGATTTTTCCCTGTCCAGTCACAGGACCACCTCTCTAGCCCAAACTGGCACGCCTGGGGCCAAATGGCTGCCTTGGTGTCCCAGCTGCTCCCACCCTGGTGCTGTCCCCAGTGGGTCACTGTGTCCTGTGGCCACATCAGTCCCCTCTAGATATCACCAGCACCATGCTTCCCCTGCACAACAGCGTGTCCAGCGCTGGCCATCAACCCACCTCCCTCATTTTACAGCCATCAGTCTTTCCATTAATGCCATTTAAAATGTGATTAAAAACTTCTATTACCAGACACTTCTCTCCCTACTCATGAGAGTGCTGCAGGCCTGGCGAGCATCTCAGCTCTGCCAGCAGAAAGGAGGCTCCCTTCGCGGCCCTCAGGAAGCCACAACCGTCACCACGGCAACACCTCCACCAGGAGGACCAAAGGCGGGATGGGAAACCGAAACGGGCTGGGGCTTGGGCAGGTCCTCTCACCTGATACCCCGCCAGAGGCCCCGCTGGAGTGTGTCGAAGATGGACAGCAGCCTGAGAATGGCAGCTGACACTGATTGGGAGCCTTAGGGGAGATAAACAAAGTGCAGTTGTTTATCTGTTTATCTATTAAGGGGTGTGAGGCAGGGCTGTCTTCCAGGAAGCACACCCTGTTGCTCAGAACTCCATTCTCGCTCTAATGAGGGGGGTTCAATTGTTTTTAAACAGCAAATCATATTTCATTATCAGAAAAAAAAAAGCAAATATTTTACCTGAGCAGATCAACTTGAGGCCCACTCCTGAAATCTTTCTCCTCTCTTTAAAATGGAAACTGTCTCCATCAGGTTGAGTGCTGTACTCGCCCAGAGAAGCACTGGAAATGAAAGATTAGAATCAAAAGGCGAGTTTCCAGCCTGTTCTTCAAAGGGCACCCATGGGTTTGGGGGGCAGGTGTAGGGAAGGCAGTTCAGGCCATCTTCCCTTGCCCAGCTCATGGAGGGAACCCCAAATGTGCACCCAGATTTGGGTGCGGCAGCCACTTCCTGCATATGTGAAAGCCCTTCTGCACAGACAGGAAAAATAAGCTCGTTAGCGTCACCAAAGGGTCTGAGCCCGTTCTATTCAAAACTTTACCTTCAATATAGTATCAATAACATTTTCAGCTTTCACTTATTTGGGGTCTTGAGGTAGGTAATTCTTGACCCTAATTATTTAAAATTAAAGAAACTGAGGCTTAGAAAGACCAATTGTCCAGAGTGATATGATTGGTTCTGAAAGACCTGAGGTCCTGAGAGGAGAGGGAGAGAGAGAGATCAAGCCTTGTTACCTGGAAGGTCCAGGAATATCTTGCAAGCTCTCCAGCCAGTCTGAGAACAATCCTCCCTCCTCTCCTAGGCAGCCTCTCTCATTGGCTTGTAGTCTCTTCAGAAAACATTAGAGAGGTAACAGATGAAAAACAGGCCACAAATTCTATCTGCCAGGAGAGAGGGAGGTGAGAGAGAGGGACTGTGTCCCCAGGAACAGGAAAAGAACAATGTGTGTGTTTCCTCGCAAAGCCAGCCTCAGAGGGTGACCCAGAAACCCTCAGAGCCACCAGAGGAAGAAGTTGGTTTGGTTTGGTTTTGTTCTTAATAACAGCTCCCTTTCCTCCTCCCGCCACATCCCTGTAAGGCTTCTGTCCTGAGAATGGAGACCAGAGGAGCCAGTGACCAGTGGGGCACAGCTGCATCCCCACCAGCCATTCGCCGCCGGGCACTGGCTCCTCCGTTTACCTCTCCGGCACAGAGATGGCTCTGTATGTAATTCTAGGTGGCAGTGGAGGCTGGAACTCAAGGCAGGCGTCTTGCCTGGCACATCTTAGAGCTCTGGCCTCCTTCGTGTTTCTCTGTCAGAAGCCCAGCTCTCAGGTCAGCCACGCTCTGACTTCAGGTGGAAACAAGGATCAGTATGTCCCTTCACCCCGGTGGACTTTCATTTCCACAGAAACCAGAGAGACATCTGCCCCAGACACAGTGTGATTTGGGCAAAGTGATAAGCCCTTGGTGGGGGTGCCCTGGGCCTCTCACACTGCCCTGGCTGATGCCCCTACTCTCCCCCGTGCCCTGGCCCTGCCGAGGGCCCCTGTGTCACAGGACACTAACGTGCCTCTCGGGAGACATTGTCAGGTGAATGTGGCAGAGTTTGACTGCTTACTTCCACCTTTGAATTCAGATTAATTCTTGAAAAACAACTATACTCAGGAAAGTGAGATACAGGCAACTCTTGGTCCTTTGCTCCGGTTGGAGAGGGGGCTGATTCCAGTGCAGATAACACACACACACACACACACACACACACACACACACACACACATACACACACACACATATACACACACACACACACACACACTTTGCAATGAAAGCTATGCTTGTCTTACAAAATATTCTCACATATTAATATTGCAGTTTTAACTTATCAAATAATGATAACTATTAATTGTGGTGGACAACAACTAAATGTGGTGGACCCATACCCTCCTGCTACAGGAGACAGAAAGGTGCACTCTTAACATATAGAAGACTCTAGTTTTTTTTTTTTACTAGTGAGAAATGCATTCTATATCTCATTTTTGCCAGAAAAAAAGAAAGAAGGTAAAAAAAGTCCTCTCAGATGGAGATAAGCGTTTTGGTAGACTTTCGTCAGCTCTACAGTGGTCTATCATGCGTGCTTTCATGCCCGCAGTCAAGTCATTCAGCTCTCTCAGCACATATTTTCAAATGCTTGATAGACACACCAGGGACACTGCACAAAGGCATCCAATCCACACGCGCCTTAGGAATTTTTCATGGTTGAAGTAATCATGCAATTTTACCTGCTCTAAGCTGCCCAGGCTGCCACTTATGTGCCCACACCAGAGAGAAGATGGATCTTGATCAGTGACTTTTTGTGCATTAGAGAAAAATGCAAGTTAGTCATTGAAAAAAGAATCTTGATTCCGTCTTCAGGCACTTCCCCAGCTACAACGCAGACAGAGACGGGATGGCCTTCTACTGGGACAACCGGATGCCTTTTCCTCAAAACTGTTCATACACTTTGTTGATTTTTTCCTGTTAAATTACATGTATTTTTCTTGTTGATTCAAGAAAGTGAAAGATTGCCTTTTCTATATTATAGGTAATGTATATTACCTGCACCTTTCTTTTCCACATCCAGAGTTTTATGCTAATCAGGCCTCTTCTTTTTCTTTCTGCATTAAAATGAGGAATTCTGATGACGACTCGTCAGTGCTTCTAATTGCTTTCAAAAGAATAAATTAATTAAATTAAAATTAAAATAGCAATAAAAAAGAGGAAAATTGTTCCTTTTCTCCTACAGCTGCAGAGTAAAACAACAAAGATTATTCCTACAAATGAGTCTGTGAGACATCCAGTGCTCAAAAATTGTAGCTCTGTCCTGTGAAAATAACCCTTCATCTCTAAAAGACTATAGAATTATGGCTGTCTTATTTTATAATGTGTCTCCTATCAGTGAGATGTAAACTGAAACTAAGCAATTCCTAGAGGCCTAAATACTTGTAAGATTTCTTGGACAAACCCAAAGGAGATTGCTGATATTTCCCTCTTCTACCAGAATCATGCAGGTAATAAAACAAAATAAAACAAAACGAAATAATGAAAGAGTTTGAGAATCTTGTCACATTTAAATTCACAATATGCTAAGTAAAATAGAACTGTCAACTGCTGTCAACTGTCTTGCAAATACTACCCCCTGCTGTCTGTTTCTTAAGTTAGTTATGGTAAGTTTTTAGCACAATCTGAAAATTTTACCAGATGTTTTCTTTATGACTTCTGTCATTCTGAGAAAGCTCTCCTTTCTCATCCTTTTACTTAAAGATACATTACCTATGTCCACATAAAAATCAGCATACAAGTATTTAGCAGTTTTATTCATAATTGCCAAAATTTGGAAGCAACCAAGATGTCTTTCAATAGGTCAATGGACAAACTGTGGTGCATCCAGATAATGGAATATTATTCAGTGCTAAAAAGCAGTGAGCTATCAAGCCATGAAAAGACATGGAGGGAACTTAAATGCATATGCTTAACAACATGCTCCTAAATAATCAATGGATCAATGACCAAATAAAAACAAGAGATCAACATATGGAGACAAATGAAAACAATAACTCAACACTGCAAAATCTGCGGGACACAGCGAAGGCTGTGCTAAGAAGGAAGTATATTCCTATACAGGCTTACCTCAGGAAAGAAGTACAATCCTAAAAGAACAGTCTGAATTCACAACTAATGAAGCTAGAATAGAAGAACAAATGAGGCCCAAAGTCAGTAGAAGGAGGGACATAATAAAGATAAGAGCAGAAACAAATAAAATTGAGAAGAAAAAAACAGTAGAAGGAATCAGTGAAAGTAAGAGCTGGTTCTTCGAGAAAATAAACAAAATAGATAAACCCTTAGCCAGACTTATCAAGAAAAAAAAGAGAGTCTACCCACATTAACAGAATCAGAAATGAGAAAGGTAAAATCACTGTGGAGATCATAGAAATATACAAAGAATTATTAGATAATACTATGAAAAATTAAATGCTAACAAATTGGATAACTTAGAAGAAATGGATAACTTTCTAGAAAAATACAACCATCCAAGGCTGAGCCAGAAAGAAACAGAAAATCTGAACAGACTAATTATCAGCAACAAAATTGAACTGGTAATCAAAAAACTACCTAAGAATAAAACCCCTGGACCAGATGACTTCACCACTGAATTTTATCAAACATTTAGTGAAGACCTAATACCCATCCTCCTTAAGATTTTCCAAAGAGTAGAAGAGGAGGGAATACTTCCAAACTCATTCTATGAGGCCAACATCACTCTAATACCAAAACCAGGAAAAGACACCACAAAAAAAGAAAATTACAGACCAATATCCCTGATGAACATAGATGCAAAAATGCTCAACAAAATATTAGCAAAATGAATTTAAAAATATGTTAAAAAGATCATCCATTATGATCAAGTAGGATTTATCCAGGGATATAAGGATGGTACAACATTTGAAAATCCATCAACATCATCCACTACATCAATAAAAAGGACAAAAATCACATGATCATCTCCATAGATGCTGAAAAGGCATTTGACAAAATTCAACATCCATTCATGATAAAAACTCAACAAAATGGGTATAGAGGGCAAGTATCTCAACATAATAAAGGCCATATATGACAAACCCACAGCCAACATCATACTTAACAGTGAAAAGCTGAAAGCTTTCCCTTTAAGATAGGAAAGAAGACAAGGATGCCCACTCCCCACTTTTATTCAACAAGTACTGGAGGTTGAGCCACAGCAATCAGACAACACACAAAAAATAAAAGGCACCCAGATTGGTAAGGAAGAGGTTAAACTGTTACTGTTTGCAGATGACAGGATACTGTACATAAAAAAAACTTAAAGAATCCACCCCAAACTACTAGAACTTATAACTAAATTCAGCAAAGTGTCAGGATACACAATTAATACACAGAAATATGTTGCATTCCTATATACTAACAATGAACTAGCAGGAAGAGAAATCAGGAAAACAATTCCATTCACAATTGCACCATAAAGAATAAAATACCTAGGAATAAACCTAACCAAGGAAATGAAAAACCTATACCCTGAAAACTACATGACACTCTTGACCAAAACTAAAGAAGGCACCAATAAATGGAAATACATCCCATGCTCATGGATAGGAAGAATTAATGTTGTCAAAATGGCCATCCTGCTTAAAGCAATCTACAGATTCAATGCAATCCCTATCAAAATACCAAAAGCATTCCTCAATGAACTACAGCAAATAGTTCTAAAATTCATAATGAACCACAAAAGACCCCAAATGCCCAAAGCAATCCTGAGATGGAAGAACAAAGCTGGGGTGATTACACTCCCTGACTTCAAGCTCTACTACAAAGCCACAGTAATCAAGACAATTTACTACTGGCACAAGATCAGACCCATAGATCAGTGGAACAGAATAGAGAGCCCAGATATAAACCCAAGCATATATGGTCAATTAATACACAATAAAGGAGCCATGGACATGCAATGGGGAAATGACAGCCTCTTCAACAGCTGGTGTTGGCAAAACTGGACAGCTACATGTAGGAGAATGAAACTGGATTACTATTTAACAACATACACAAAACTAAACTCGAAATGCATCAAAGACCTGAATGTAAGTCATGAAACCATAAAACTCTTAGAAAAAAACATTGGCAAAAATCCCTTGAATATAAACATGAGCAACTTTTTCCTGAACGCATCTCCTCAGGCAAGGAAAACAAAATAAAAAATGAACAAATTGGACTAAATCATGCTAAAAAGCTTCTGTACAGCAAAGAACACCATCAGCGGAACAAAAAGGTATCCTACAGTATGGGAGAATATATTTTTAAATGACAGATCTGACAAGGGGTTAACACCCAAAATATATAAAGAACTCACACGCCTCAAAACCCAAAAAGCAAATAACCCTATTAAAAAATGGGCAGAGGCTATGAACAGACAATTCTCCAAAGAAGAAATTCAGATGGCCAACAGGCACATGAAAAGACACTCCACATCATTAATCATCAGAGAAATGCAAATTAAAACCACAATGAGATATCACCTCACAGCAGTTATGATGGCCAGCATCGAAAAGACTAGGAACAACAAATGCTGGCGAGGATGTGGAGAAAGGGGAACCCTCCTACACTGCTGGTGGGAATGTAAATTAATTCAACCATTGTGGAAAGCAGTATGGAGATTCCTCAAAAAACTGAAAATAGAAATACCATTTGACCCAGGAATCCCACTCCTAGGAATTTACCCAAAGAAAACAAGATCCCAAATTCAAAAAGACATATGCACCCCTATGTTTATCACAGCACTATTTACAATAGCCAAGATATGGAAGCAACCTAAGTGTCTATCAGTAGATGAATGGATTAAGAAGAGGTGGTACATATACACAATGGAATATTACTCAGCCATAAGAAGAAAACATTTGCGACAACATGCGTGGAGCTAAAGGGTATTATGCTCAGTGAAATAAGCCAGGTGGAGAAAGACAAGTACCAAATGATTTCACTCATCTGTGGAGTATAAGAACAAAGCAAAACTGAAGGAACAAAATAGCAGCAGACTCACAGACTCCAAGAAGGGACTAGCAGTTACCAAAGGGGTGGAATGATGGAGGGCAGGTGGGGAGGGATTGAGGGGCATTATGATTGGCACACGTGGTGTGAGGGGATCATGGGGAAGATAGTGCCTCACAGAGAAGACAAGTAGTGACTCTATAGCATCTTACTACACTGATGGACAGTGACTGCAATGGGGTGTAGGGGGGACTTGATAATATGGGTGAATGTAACCACAATGTTGCTCATGTGAAAACTTCATAAGAGTGTATGATAACTTAATAATAAAAAAAACTAAAAAAAATTCATCAATATATTCCACCATGCCTAAAGACCAATGAAGGAAAACCATGTATGCATCTCAATAGAGAAAGAAAACCATTTGAAAATTCAAGAACTTTATAAAACTCTCTGAAACTAAGAATAGAAAGGAACTTCTACAATCTGATAAAGGATATCAACCAAACAATTTTTATAAAAATGTTTATAAAATGGTGAAACCCTGAATAATTTCACATTCAGGTGGGAAACAGCAATTTTGAAACTATGGTATACTGAGGTTCAACCATCAGCAAATGTATTGTAGCTAATGAAAACCAAATTTCTCACTACTTGAGAAAGCAATACAAATAAAGGGAGAATGTTGGAATAAACCCTGGTTCTAGGCTCTAGTCAGAAATATTAATATGAATCCATGGTTGTTATTTTTTCATAGAGAAACAAATATATATGTGGGGGGAGTTCAGTAATACATACATGGATTTCTTAGCTGTCTGCTGAGAAAGACTCCAAGTAGTGATACCCCAATGCAGTGAGAACACCCAGTATACAGATCTTGATTTCTAAATGCCATTCTCCAATAAAAAGTAACCAGGACTCTTTAGAGAAGTGGCTGATTCCA